GCACTGCCCTCAAGGAGTTTACCTTCTAGGGAAAGGCAGATATCCAGACCAGCGACAGTACCCTGGGGTAAGGTTAAGTCTCACTGACAATTAAGGTCAGAAGTTAGTATTTTGGGGGAAGCCAAGGAAGCAGTCATGGTTGATGCAGATGTTGAGCTGGAGTTTCTTTAGTGAGTTTATAGCCTAGAGCAGGGGTCTGCAAACGTTTGAGATGGAAGAGCCACCAGGGATCAGCAAACTGCGGCTCGCGAGCCTCTAAAGTAAAATTGAAAATGAAAATAAAACAAAATTATCATAGTTTCATTTATAAAAATTGTAAAGGATATTATTCACATAATGGTGATTATGTAAAAATATATTTATGGCTCTCGAATAATTTTTAAATTGTTGTGAGGGACAGGATTGGCTCTTCCAGGGGTCGGCAAACTTTTGAGATGGGAGTACCCAAAGAGCTGCATGTGGCTCGTGAGCCCAGTTTGTTGACCCCTGGCCTAGTGAATATGATTGCCATGCATGTAAATAATTCCAACACTAGGAAAAAGGTGTTAAGTGCTTTGAGAGAAATTCAGACAAAAGGCTGTGAGGGAGGATTCAGGGGGGAATGTTTACTTCTAGCTGGGGCATCAGGTAAGTATTGGGTTGTCGGAAAAGTCATGACATATTTTTTCTGTTTCGTTGCAAAAATGCATCATGACTTTTCTGACAACCCAATATTTACCAAAGAGGTTGAACTGGAGCTGGTCTTAAAGGATTGAGTGGAACTTCACCAGGCAAAGGGGTGAGGGAAGGGGTAATACAGAAGGAACAGCATGAACAGTGACATGACATGTTACTAATGAATCCTTTGAAGTGGCTAGAGTGGACTAGGCTGGGCAATGACAATTTGAGGACAATACAGTGTGCAGCTAGATCATGGAAGGTCGCGAACACCAAGCTGACTCATTGGACTTCATTGAGTGAAGTCCAATGAGTCACTTTTCTTCTTCTGACTGGCCTTAGAATTGAGGCAATATTAATTAAAAGGTAGGGCAATGGAATTGGACTGCTTGGGCTCAAATACTGTCCCACCATTCACTAGCTGCATGAACTTGAGCAAGTCTCTTAGCCTCTCTGAGCCTTGGTTTTAACACCTATAAAATGGGTATGACAGTAATACTGTACCCCACTCAGGTACAATCAATGAGGACTGGTTTAGTTTATGTGTTTGTAGCTTCTAGAACAGTGCTTAGCAAGAGGGACTATATGTGTCAGCTGTTGTTAGTAGCAGTAGTAGTAATAACAATAATAGTTGTGGTATAAATGGTAGCAACTTTAGGGAATTCTTGTGTTGTGAACTTGTAGGGACATACTTAGGATGACCTGACCGGCTTCCAGAAACCAGTAGTGAACCTCAGGGCATATTTAAAAATGATCAATATTATCCTCTTTGCATAACTGTTGAGGTACATCTGAGTTGAGCCACGTACTAGCCACACACATAGCCAGGCCTTCGCAGGTCGAAATGGCCCAACCAGAATGTTGGCTGCCATGACAATGGAGACAATCAATATAACTTGATTGTCTAAACAATCTAGGATCAAGTCCAAGCGAGAGAGCTTCTGAGAGCTCCTCCATCTATGATACGTCATCAGCAAAACTTGAGAACAGTAGGGATCACCTGTGGTTAAACTTAAGGCTTTGCTGAAAGTCTAGCAATAAAAGAATGTAATTCCCATGTCCCAGGTGCCTTAGTTTTCACACCCCAACCTCAAGCTGAAATGTTAACATGAAAGTGTAGCCATTTGCAAGTAATACCAAAGTGTCCCCACTTGGGGGCGTATTCACAAGAAACAGGCACAGCCTGAGAACATTGATCTGCAAAGCTGTGGAGACTGTTCTTTCTCGTGTTGACGCTCTGTGCATTTTTGGGACACATCTGACAAGTCCAGCTGCATTTAGCAGGTGGCCTATGATTTAGTATATTTCCCTTGCGTGCCCAACTGTAGATTCAGCAGATGGATGTCATTATAGACATGCCTCTTTCTTATGGACTGCAGTTGGTCATTCCTAAGCACACAAGCTGTTGTTATAAGACAGAGAGTCACCTTAGTAAGTCCTGGATGAGCCCACAAATCTCCCTTCTCAAATGAGCGTTAGCACAGGGAGCTCAGAGTTCCCTTTGCAGATTCACAGCGAGCCCCTGGAAGTTCCTGAGACACATAGCAATTAGAATGTATCTCTTTTGGAGACCTCTGTATCTTACACTCTCAAAGCTCTATGCAAACATCATTGTGTAGGCTTAAAAGTAAGGGAATCATAGTGTATTGGAAAAAATGTTATTATATGTCTTCATCAAAAAAGGATTTAAAGCTGGCTGGTGTCAAGTATTGTGCCAGCAATCAAACAGTCCTCCAAGGATGAAGCCAGAAGTGTCTTTCTGCTCAATTTATTCACTTTCCATCAGAAAATGGTTCTTAATTTATAATTTTTGATAAACATCAATTAAACATTTACCTAGAAAAAAATTATGTTTGTCTCCTCAGAATTTTTTTTGAGAGGGGCTATTTTGGATGACTCATTTGTTTTAAAAAGTCTATCCTTGGAAGTTTTCTAAAATAAATGTACTTGTGGCAAACAGAGACTTCCAAATCATCCATAGAGTAGAGCTAGAAATGTAGAAACGAGGCAACAGAAGTTCAGTGGGGTTAGGTTCCGCGACAGAACATGGCATTAGGGTTTGAGCCCATTTGTATGACCCTGCATAAGCCTATGTTCAGACTCAGTTTCTTCATCTGTGTATAACACAGCATTGTCCTGAGGGAGGATTAATTAAAATACTATAATATATGGGAAAATGCGTTGTAAATGGCAAAGGGCCACTCAACTGTAAGGAATTGCTATTATTATCATCCCCATTCATGCTTCTACAGCTTATAACTAAGTCAGAGTTTGTCTAAACACATACATACATACATACATACATACATACATACATACATCAAGCAGTCATATCTCTTTCCCCACTAGATGGCGGGCGAGCCACTTGATAAAGTGCTTATGGGATTAGGGATCTAAAGAACCACAGCAATTCTGGTTTGTGAAGCAGTGCTGCAATGGACAAAGGGTGAATTAGAAATCATGAAAAACAGATGTTAAAATAAATCTCAAGCACCACCGGTTTGCAATTTACCAAGATTTTGTCTCTATGTGAACATGGTCTTTTTTTTTTTCTGACTTGGAGCAAAAGGACAGCTAAGCAATTTCTGCAAATAAGGAAAATGTTCAGCTCACTTAGAGTTATAGCTAACAGACTTAACGATTATGTATAACACCATTTGTCAGGCAATGGTTTCATCTACATCAGGGGTCAACAAACTGCTTCTGTGGAGGGAGGGCCAGATAGTAAATATTTCCAGCTTTGCAGGTTGATCTATTGCTGCTGCATTGATTCGGCTTTGCCTTTGCAGCCTGGAAACAGCCTGAGACACTAAGAAAATGAGTGGGCATGGCTGGGTTACAATAAAACTTTATTTTGGACACTTATATTTGAAATTCGTATAGCTTTCACTTGCCACAAAATATTATTCTTCTTTTGATTTTTTCTCACCATTTAAAAATGTAAAAACCATTCTTGGCTCAAAGACCACAGAAAAAATGGCCACAGGTTTGATTTGGCCCTCAGGGACTCTTTTGCAGATCCCTGGATTAAAAGCTTTAATAGTCTTAACTATCAGATTGCCAATCTTCTCAATTAATATCAATAATTTTTTTATTACTTTCATAATAAATATTTCAATGTGACTGTAACTTTTGCCATGAATAAATTAAGAATCCTTGTCATATTTTTTGCCTACCTCTCAATATAGACTTATGTCTTGTTAGACTATAAACATAAGAATTCAAGTAGTCGTTGCATTGTTCCTAGCGTTGCCAGAAAAAACAAGACACAGCTGAATTTGAATTTCAACTAAACAATGAATCATTTTTAAAGTATAAGTGTGTCCCATATATTGCATCGGACATACTTATATTATAAAAGTTCCGTACTGCCGTGTATAATGTGCACTTTTTTGCCCAAATTTGCGAGGGAATAATAAGGATGTGCATTATACATGGGTGGTACTAATTCTGTATCTATATGTTTTTAATTCTTTTATTTATGCTTATGAGTTAAAAGTGTAATAATAAATAAATGCTAAAATCTCTTTATAATACAAAAACCAAGAACCTAAATATAAACAAATAAAAATTTGAATTAAAAAATTAAAACAAAAGATTTTTTTCCCTGAAATTTTGGGCCAAAAACGTAGGCATGAATTATACATGGAAATATGGTATTCCTTGTTTATCTGAGATTCGGTTTTAATTAGGTGACCCGTGTTTTTATTTCCTAAACCTGGCGTTCTTGTACTTACGGACTTTGCCTGTTACTCATTTATTAAAGCCTTAAAAATAACTCAAGATCTGCAAACAGGACTCCTAAAGCAAACTATGTCTTTAGAAATTTGTGGGAAACATACACCTCCAACTCCTGGTTGCTTTCAGTGCTCGTTAACACATTAAAACAACCGTGTGGCATAAACAGGCAAGTTTCACATCTATTTTCCAGGAGCATTTTCCTGAGCGGCCAGGGCCAGTCTCACTTGGATAAGCCATTTTAATTGCTTTGTAAGAAACCCAAAGAAATTGCTTCAGAGAAACTTGAAGTCTTATAAAGGGGTCCGGTGGGAACAACAAATCCAATCCCTCCCACACCCCCCAGGCTGGTGTTTTATGGGGCTAGGCTTATTTTAGGCCAGTTCCCACCAGAAACCCCACCCTTCTCTAAACACTTTTTCCCACCTCTTGATGGAGATTTCAAGTGTTCACAGGCAGTATTTGCTTTAGTGGGTTTTCTTTGTGTGTGTACTTGTTACGATGCACTACTGGTACTAAATATTGACACATATTTAATTTGCTTGGTGACTTTTCACAAAAGACAGCGAATGCTAAATCCTACCCAAATCTGATGTTCCTTCCAGCTTTTAAGATCTGCGGCCTGCCCAAGCGATCAGGCGGATCCGCGACTGTTAAACTACCATCGAACAACAAACCGTGTGGAGTCGCATGACTTTGGCCTTGAGATGGTTAATTCAGAGGGCCTCTCGGCTGCCGCTGCTGGGACCGAGTTGGGGGTGGTGGTGACTGGTGTAACTGAGGAAGTGTCCTCACACGCAGTGAACGGGTCAAAAGTGACGGCACACAGTCCTCCCATCCCTGCGGGGGACCAGCCCGCCCTGCACCGAGAGAGTGGACCTCCAGCAAGCAATAGCAGCGGTGGGCGGGCGGGCAGGCGCTGAAGGGGCCACACGAGGGGGGCAGGTCTCTCCCGAGAGCGGCCGGTTGATAAAGGCTGCGCGGAAGGACACTGCTTCAGAGTAAGCGCGCTGCAAACACGAAACGCATTCTCCCCAGAGGGGAGCAGACCGTGCCGTGGCGGTTAGAAGAGGAGATGGCCGGGCCTGGAGCGGCCAGAACCAGGTAAGCCGACGTCCTTTCGGTATTCCGCTTTCACCAAGCTGATTTCCCCCGGGGTGCTGCCACTAATTACTCTTGCGGAGCAGCGTGGGCTCCCAGCCGGCCAGCCAGCCGGAACAAGCCAGTCCGGCCTCCTCCTCCTCCCTATCCCGCGGCGGCCCACGCCTAGATTCCCTAGCGCCTCCTCCGTGCTGCCTTTTTCTCTACCTGCAAAAATCATGTCCTTCACTTATGCCTTTCCTCAACTCACCAAGGCCTGGGCAAGGGCACATCTAGTGAGGCACTGGCCTTGGGAGCAAAATTTAAGGGGGCACCAAGACACTCAGTAATCAAGATGAAAAATTTAAATGCAATATCTCTAAAATTCAAAGTTAGTGCAAAAAAAATTCCACGATGCACAACATGTGAAACTGTTCAGTAAACTCGTGATCTGACCTTGATTGGCCACACTCGCCTCACCGTAATGCCAGGTTTTGCAAATCAACTGTGAAGTGACTGCCTCTTCTCTGTGTGGCCCCAAGTCCCGGGCCTCAGTGGTACCTGTCTGTGGTCTTTTGTGGCAATGAGTTGTGTTTTCCTTGTGTATATGCCTCCCCGGCTGTGCCGAAGGAAGGAGGGACTTCTGCTTCACCACCTCAAGGAGCACAGCCCAGTGCTTCGCCCACGGAGGCCGTGGGGACTGGATGGAGTTTGGAGGGGACTGAAGGTGAGAGCTCATCCCACGCCCCCAGGTTGTAAAGCTTTGCGTTGAAACCACGGAAACCCCATTGAAGTAAGGCACGAGAGGAAGCTGTGGTTCCTTAATCGGGGCTTAGGAACCCGTTTAGAACTGAGTTGAATATAAATGCTTTAAAGGAACCACAAGTAGCAAGGAAGGGCTTTTGACATTATTTTTGCAGAAAGAAGGGTGCCTCTGCACTTGGGGACTCTTTGTTCTTCTTTAGCCTGCCATGAGCAATTCCTAGTATTGCAATCCAGTGTGAATTTGCAATGATACAAGCACCTTTAATGAGAATCTCACTCCGCAATTGACAGTGCAACTCCCCCTAACATTCATTATTTTACTCACAGCAGGCGGCAGGACACTGTGCTAGGCGCGGGTTAAAAAGCTGCTTTCAATTGTCAGAGCGAGGAGGCATTGTATGCTGCTCTATTGTTTGCTGCCTTTGAGGTTAAGAGGGGGCAAATGGCGCATCCAGCCTCAGACTTAGGAGACAGTCTGGTTGTGTTTCAGGTTGGGACCTGGCTGGCCACTAGGCCCATGAATTTGCTGGATTCCTGAAAGGGTTCCCTAACTAAATGCTTCATTTTGTCTCATGCAGGCCAGTGAAAATGAGATGAGAAAGAGCAAATGGAGGAGGAGATCAGGAAACTATTGTTTAAATTTATGTGCCTTTTCTTAAAAAAAAATCAAAACAACTTTGGAAGCTTTGAGCATGGCCAACACCCAAAGAGATGAGGGGGGGAAAAAAGGGAGTTTGTCAAAACACTTCCCCGACACCTGGGCCTGCTAAGCGAGTTTGTTTCCGTTGAGGAGTTATCAAGTCAACATTCTATTTAATGTGAAAGGGGAAGAGATTGGGGAAGTGCCGACATTGCGCACCGCAGACAGCCTTGGCTTTTCGCATTCCTTTGCTGCCCGGGTTTAGCTGTTCCGTTCTGCAGCCAGCAGAGGGCACTGTTGCTACATAGACCCCATTTTGACTTTTTTGGGGAAGAACTTTCAAAGCTATAAAAAAATACTTGGATCCAGTAAGAAGTATACACGATTTTCTATGAAATTTTACTGTGAAAAATAGATTATTCTTAAGACCTTAAGGACGGCTTATTTGATTAGTGACCCATTGAACCATAGAAGGAAAGTGAAGATGTTTCATGACTGTCTTTGTTATCAAAGATTAAATTGCAAGAACAAAACAGCAATGTGATGATAACTATCAGCATGATATCCCAAAATTGTTTAGGACACGAATAGTTAGGACTTTTTCTCTTAGGAATGTGTGTGTCGAGATTAGTAACAAGGAAGAATAGGTCTGATTTATCCTAAACACCTGCTTTTTTATTCATTGCATACATAAACCCTTTCATTGATAGCAAGACAGTTAAACGTAACTCGACTCACCAAAGTAATCGGGCATCTGAAGCCCTCTATGATTTACCTCAACAGACTTTCCCAATTTTGTTTTTTATTAACCACTTCTGTCCCCACTGTGCTTCAGCCCATCTAACCTAGTCCCCACACTTAGCCAGCATTGTCCTGCCTCTGCCTTTGCTCCCACTCACCTCCCACTCCCTTGCCCTGTTCTCCACACACCGGGAGTCCTACCCGTTCTTCAAGGTCCAGTTTAAATGCTAACACTTGTGCATGTTGCATGCAGCTCTTATTCTCTCTAAGCATTCATGCAGTAAAACGAGGACCTGTTCTGTGGCCGATACTGTCAAGGCATTCACAGATTATTAAAGCAGGGAAACAGATGGCACTACAGTGACATGGCATAAATTCTGTAATCAGAGAAAGCATGGGAGGGAGCCTCTGAGAGCTCCAGTCAGTTCTGCAGAGCCAGCCAGTGCTTCAGAGCCTGCTGGAGGGAGCAGTGGAAGTTTCCTGGAAGAGGTGGTGCTTGAACTAGTGTTGAAGGTTAAAGAAACCTGGATGGTTGAAATAGTCCCTTAACTGGCTAACATGTAGATTACAAGGGAAGAGGTAGTGAAACATTAGACTGGGAAAGTAGGCAGGCACCATTATACAAAGGGAGGTTGAACTTGATTCAGTAAGCCACAGGGCCTCATGAGAGTGATTTAAAGTGGAGAAAGTACTGGATTAGACCTCTATTGTAGAAAGGTTGTCTGGAAGCAGTGTGGTGGATAGGCTTGAATGGCAGGCAGACAACTTAGGAAGTTACACACCGTTCTTCAGATGAGAAATGCGAAGGGCCTGAACCAGGGTCAGTAAAGTAGGAATGGACAGAAGGGGGCAGATTAGGCCCCCATAATACATTGTTTGTAACCCTTATGGAATATGTGGCTTTCTACCTTATATTGTGTTATATTTATCATCCCTAGAAGACTAAGTTCCTTGAGATCAAGTTTTTATTTCTCAGTTCATTTCATTATTCCTCATATCACATGGCCTTGTACATGATAAGCTCTTTGTCAGCATGAGTTGACTGAGGGCAACTAATGAATTTCTGAAATTTTATATCATGAAGGTTTACTTTGGAAATGCTCTATTATTGCTCTTTGGTCTCAAAAGTCAGTAGAGGGCCAGCTGAGTGGCTCAGTTGGTTAAGAGCGTCAGGTCTGAGCAACAAGGTCGCTGGTTTCATTCCCACATGGACCAGTGAGCTGCACCTGAGCTGAGCTGCTGCTGAGCTGCCAACAGGTGGCAGGATGGCTCAGCTGGAGAGAACACGTGCTCCTAACAAGAAGGTTGCCCGTTCAACTCCCACATGAGATGATGGACTGTGTCCCCTGCAACTAAGATTGAACATGGCACCTTGAGCTGAGCGGCTGCTGGCGGGGCAACCGGATGGCCCAGTGGTTAGAGCGTGCGCTCTTAGCAACAAGGTTTCCAGTTTGACTCCTGCATGGGATGGTGTACTGCGCCCCCTGCAACTAAGACTGAACAGGGCACCTTGAGCTGAGCGGCTGCAAACTGCTGATGGGCAGCCGGATGGCAGTTGGATTTAGAGCTGAGCTAGCTGCACCCTCCACAACTAAGATGGAAGGACAACAACTTGGCTGTTCCCCTCCCCTAATTCCCCAACACTGTTCCCCTTCCCCAATTCCCCAATAAAAAAAAATCTTTAAAAAAAAGTCAGTGGAATGACATCTTTATCATATTAGTAAATGCACTGTGGCTAGTTTATCTATTTTAAAAAATAAGATTTCTTATGGAAACCTCACCAATGGTTACCATTTATGGGTGTTGTACTTTACAGTGTTCAGTCATTCTGATGATCTGTACTTTTTGAGCTCACCACTTGTGTGCTACTGTTTGAAGATTTTTGAAGGGAGAGAATGAGCTCTGCACAGCTGGTATAAAAGCAAACCCCTTAAGACCAAATGTCCTATCATAACAGAAACTGCAGTGCACTCAATCCTATTTGTATGTACAGACCCCCACAGGGTGTGGCATTTAAAAAATTCCTTGTTCTCGATTGAAATGCCAACAGTATAAAACATCCTGAGATCACCCTGCCCTTTTGGACACTTGAGCTGTGTGAGCCCCAAGGCTCAACCAGCTAGGCTTTGTTTCTTATAGAAGATGCCAGGCCGCTTAGACTCACAAGGACTAGAAGAATGATATACTCTCATTCTTAAGAGATGGACTTTGGAAAAACACCTTGAGAAGTGGTGCACTTGGTTGCACTAGTATTTATTATCATCCTAGCAGCTTTAAGTCTCTGTATAGCTTGTAGAACTGAAAAGTAACATGGGAAGTTTATTTCAGAGGCTTTATTCTTCACACTAACTTGGTTCCAGAATCTTATAAAAGTGACATACCATTAGCAAGGTCAGAGGATGAAACTCTGACCCAAAGTGAATGTTATGGGTAGAAGTATATTCTACCATTTGAAAGTAGGCTGAATGAAGTTTTACCCAGTGATTTAGGATTTAGTTAAACATATAGTAGTCATTCTCCCTACCCAGGGTTATCAGTTTTTATGCCCCTTGCTTGCTCTTTTTTTTTTTTTTAAGCTGAGCCACCCTGCCACCTGTTGGCAGCTCAGTGGCAGCTCAGCTTGGGCCAGGACTCGAACCACGAGTTGCTCAGAGCTCAAATTCTTGAGTGAGCTCTTAACCAACTGAGCCACTCGGCCGGCCCCTGCCCTTGCTTGCTGTTTATTTCCTTTCATAAATCTCCATCTCTTGTGTGGTATTGAAATCTTTTGTTATTAGTATTACACAGTTGAACTGTCCCCAGCTTTAAATTGGTTTCAGGTACAATAGCTATAAAGCTTTTGTTCCCATTTGGTAGAGAAAAAGAAAACTTGAAAATTGAGTCCCTTACCTTTAAATTGATATTGGGATTCAGGCTTCATAGTGCTTTAGTATTTAATCTATTGACTTAAAGTGAGGAAAATATTTCATTTAAAGTGGTTTCCCTTCAGTGATTTGCTGTTCTTTAGTTGTAACTCTTCATCTTGTATATAACCTGAAAAGGCACTGATAGTGCCAAAAATGTAGCCATGAAACATGAGATTATTACTTCATGCACTCATGTGCATACATACACACACTTTTTATTATGAGAATGTTCAAACCTAGAGAGAACTAGAATAGTGCAATGAATGCCCTCCTACCAACCACTTGGATTCCACAGTTGTTAACATTTTTTCATAAAATAAATTACTGATTACATGATAGGTGTATTTGCTTCAGCTTTTCCTCCAAAAAAGTGAATACAGAGGGTGCCAAAAAAATGTATACACATTTTAAGAAAGGAAAAAACTATTAAAATTGTAATACTCAATATACACCAATAACAAAAGATGAATACAAGTCACATTTGACTTCTGCAATTACAAGAGGTGCTAAAAGTGGTTACCATCAGTTTAATTTTAATAGTTTTTTCCTTTCTTAAAATGTGTATATTTTTTGGCACCCTCTGTATAAGTAGATGATTTAAAGATGAAGCGATAGAAATGATTTATGATATGGAGGGATGGTGAAAGAAATGAAAATTAAAACAAAAATGAGATACCTTGTTATCCACCCTCTGCTTGGCACAAATTATAAGAATTGATAATATTTCATGTTGGTGAACTTGCGGGAAAAGGACTCATCTACTGGTAGTGAGCATGCAAATTGGTACAGCTTTTGTAAGGACGACAATTTAACGTATGTTATTATTACCCCAAATTTCTGTTCTTCTCACTAGCTTATCAGCTAGTTATGCAGACTGCCTCTGTTCCTGACTTCATTTTCTATTTTTGTATCTGCTTTCTCCTAGACGGTGATATTCGTGCTTCTCAACTCAGCCTGGTAGCCTGACCTTGACTCCTGAGTTTCCTGATCCCTTCACAACTGCAAGTCATTCTCATACAAAATTTGACTTTACCTAGTTTGCACCTTTGAAAGTTTTGGAACAATATGCAAATTCAAGTCACCATCATGTTGTCTTGCTGACTATCTCATGTGACAAGACCAGCATTTGAGTTGCTTGCTTCTGCCCTTGTTGTTCTTCTGCCTGTTGCTCCCTCTGCAGCTGTCTATCACATACATGTGTAGTCATACAAAAGATGTCTGCTTTTTCTATTTGTCTTATGAATGTTGTCATTTGCTTCTTATATATTATATTAGTGTTGTGTACCACTCAGCGATATAAAACTTTGAATAATTGTAAATTTGCATAAGTTTGGGTAAGAATGGCACCTAAGCAGAAAAACAAGAAAGTAGATGATAGAAATGCAAGACAAGTAAAGAGGGCAAGAAAGGTGATACGTATTGCAAACAAAATGAGAGTTCTTGAAATGTTCGATAATGGTGAAACAAAGACATAGGGTGATTTTTTTGGTGCTGATGAATTCACAATTTGTACAATAAAGGAAAATCAGAAAGGTATTAGGTCTAGTGTGTCAAGGGGCACACCAGAACCATTGAGAAAAATCACACATAACTCGAAATCCCAAAATATAGAAAATGGAAAGAGATTTGCACTTGTGGCTTCTAAAAGAGAGAAGGCTGAATAGGCCTCTTTCTATATGTGTAATCCCCCAGCGAGCCTCACAAAAAATGCAAGTTTAAATTTCGATCTGGACGAGAAGTTCTAACATTTATCGTGAGTAATGGGTGGTTGGATAGGGCTAAGGTATGCTATGGTCTGTATGAAAGAATTGGTTGGCAGAGGAAGCAGATCATGAAGCTGCTGCAGAGTATCCTGAATACCTGAAGAAACTGATTGAGGAAAACGGCTGTTTGCCTGAAGAGGTCTTCCATGCTGACAAAACGGTCCTATTCTGGAAGCACGTGCCTACTTGCATATCTGCGGTGAAGGAGGGGGAAAAGACCAGAGGCTTCAAGCCTGGAAAAGGCAAGCTCAAAGTTCTACTTTGTTCCTATGTAGACTCTTTGATTAAATCCGTGTTGCTTCACAGATTTCGAAATCCATTATCCTCTTAGAAGAGGATGCGAGAAACACTTTCCTCCTTACATGATGGGAAACTGTAACATTGGGATCATTGAGAAACGCTTTTTGGGCTGGTTTTTGAAGTGTTGTGTTCCTGAGGTTAAAAAACATTTAAACCAAAAAAAACCACAAACCTTGAATTCAGTGTTGCTGATTCTGGACACTGACAAAAGTGCAATAGTAAATGCTTCTTATGTTAAAATCGTCTCCATTCCTCCCATAACAAATCCAGTCCTTCAACCCATGCATCTGGGAGTGCGAAAAATGTTCACTATGTATTGTCCTTGGCATATGTTTGACTACCTTGCAGATCTTATGAGAGAGACACCACAACTTACTGTGAGAGAAGCTTGGCAAATTTTCTCCATTTGTAACACTTTAACGATAGTAGAAGAATCAGTGAGAAGGATAAAACAGTCAACCGTTAATGGAGCCTGGTGGACACTTTGGAATGAGATTGTAACTGATTCAGAAAGTTTCCTTCCAGTGGTAGAAGAAATTGAAAATATTATAGCATCTGCAAAACGTTTAGGTGGTGAAGGATTTGAAGACATTGACTTTAGTGACGTTGCTGAACTGTTAGATTGTCATGCTCAGAAGATGGTTGAGAAATATTTCAGAGATGTTATCACATCAGAAATTGATAAAAGAGGTCAGCATAGGTTAACATCCAGAACTTGAAGAATGTTGAAGTACCCACTCTGCAAATCAAAATGCCGTGATGATTCAGAGGACAGAGATTTCTTCGATGGAATATTTCCTGCCTGACCTTCAGGCAAGGCTTAAATGATTACCCACAATCCTCTAAATCAGCAATACAGACAGCAGGCAGAGAGGCTGCACACAGAGAGTTGAACCTTGGGATTGAGACTCCGTTCAGCTCTGATGGTGTGGTGATCCGCGTGCCAGAGGATGAAAGTGGAGCAGAAGACTGAGTTTACTTATCTCCAGACAAAATCTAATCTCCATTCTTTCCCTATCACGACTGCCATAGCCAGCATTTCATTGATGTGTAATTATCCTCACCTTGAGATCAGAGAGAAATAGAAATGAATTGCCCAATAATCACTGTTGCTAATGTAAATTTCATTTCATCAAGATTCACTTTACTTAGGGTTTTATGTCAGTGAACAAAGAATTGTCTGAGCTTTCATAATACTCTCCTCCCTGCCCCAGTTTCCCCCCAAAGCTCATACATTCCACCAACACAAATTCCCCTATGATGAGGGTTTGGGGAACACAATTCTAGTACGTAAGGTGGGGCTACTCTACTTGGTTGGACAATATGATTTTGTACCCTTGATCCTGAAATTTATATGAATTCTGTTTAAGCCTAACTTGCTATCTCAACAGAGAAGATCCAAACCCTCTCCTTTTAACTAGTGGGTATGAATTAATTTGTTTTGCAGCAATTGTATCAGGTCCTGAAAGGCAGTATATTTATAATGGATTTCTGGATTTACTTTGGTATCTAATCAAGGAGGTGATGCTGCTAGAATTCATTTCCATCAATCTTCTCTCTTCCCATATCTGGTCTTCCCAGTGACTGAAACAGTTAAATATCTTCCAGAAAAAGATATCGATACTTCCTTTTCCCTAAAGGTGGCAGAAATCCTGTAATCCCCCACCCCAGCATGGAGGTCTGAATTATAGGCAACCTGTATCTGAGTTTGAAGTGATCAGAGAAAATGGAAAGATATATAAAAGTTAAAAGGGCTTACTTGCATAATTACAGTTGAGATGATAGACATTCCTCAACAAGTTCAAAAGAGGCAGATGAGAGTTGAAAACCCATGATAGAGTACTTTGGAGCTAGTGACTCATCACAGTGCCAGAGGAGTTTCTACTCTTGCTCTAAGCCACAGTGATCCTCAACACTGACTGCACATCAAAATCATGATGGGGACCTTTGAAAAAAAGACAGATTTCTAGGACCCTTCCTTAGACACACTCAATCAGGGATGGGGCCAGCATCTGGGTATTTCAAAATCTCCTCGTCATTATTTTATACACCCATGATTGCAAACCACTGCTCTAGATCTAAACAGACTTATAATAGAAAGTATTTAATGCAAATAACATGGGCTCAAGAGCTAGGAAACCCTGACTTCAAGTGTCTGCTCTGCTACTAGCTAAATGGATGGTCTTATTCAAATCACTCCACTCTTACCTTGTCTGTAAAAAAGGAAAGAAGAGGACCTGTTTCTAAGGTCCTTCTATCTCTAACATTGTTACCTTGAGAGAAAAGTGTTTCACCCTCATTGGTTGATTTTGTGAGTACCCAAGCCCTTTCATAGAGACCAAGGTAAGTAGTAGTATTACTGTATTGTGTTCTTCTTATTTTAAAAATTGTGCTTGTGGTTCAAGCGTTATCACATTTTAGTCCTTCCCAGAAAAGTTAGGCATAGATACCATAGAAAAAAAGTGAAACAAACATAGCACAAGCATCTTGGAAGGAAAGAGAGAGAGCACCTCCCATGAGTTTCTTTTTATGTGATAATTGCTATTTTTCTTCTGAGTTACAGGGTTTAGGGAAAATAATGCATAGATATTTTGAGGAAAACACTTTAACATTTTGTATCTACTGTTTCCGTAAACTAAAACAAAGAACTCTGTATGGTTCTGGTTTCAAATTTCCATGGATACTTGGCATAGTCTTACTCATATCTAGAGGTAAATATTAAGTCAGTGATTGTTTTATCAGTATAAACAGTGGTTCTATATGCCATTAAAGAATGTGCTTTCACGATTTTACCATTCATTGAGATTCCTGCATTGGCAATTTTTTCACTTAATTTGACCGGAATTAGAGAAATAAAATTTTAAATGAAACAGCGTAAACCAGGAACTGTTGCTATAAAATAATGTAACAGGAAACTGACTACTGTATGATTTTAGTTGTCATAGGAATGCCTAGACTTTGGCTTGATACATGGAAACATTTGTCTAGGGCCCAGGTCATTTGAAATAAAACATTGGAATAAATTTAATTCTTGGTTAAGTCAATATCCAGTTAAAATAATCTAAAACGTATCATTGATGAGGGTAATAGAACGTTTTAATATGGTTGAGTTTAACAAGTCAGCAGAACTTGGAGGAAGGAGGATGTGAAAGTTGGTAGAGGCTAAGTGGTGGAAAAAGAAATCAACAACAGAGATTGATTCAAGATGGCAGATTAGAGAAATATAAAACTGCAAAGAAAGAAAAAGTTAATGACAACACTGCTATGTAAACAGGTGTTTCTTTTTTCTTTTCTAAGTTAAGAATAGCCCCCAAAACTGAAAAGCTAAAATTTCTTTTAGTATATTTTATGTCCAGTTTGAGTTTAAAGTCTTTCTGTTGTCAAATGGCTCAGGTAAATTCTTGTGTTCAATATTATGAAGTGCATGGAAATTTCCTTCCCAGACATATTTAACCACTGAAAAAAAGAAAAAGAAAAAGGAAAAAGCGTGGGAAGAAATGGAGCCCAGGCTGCTGAAATTTGTAGAAACTATTAGAAAACTGGCATTACCTTTAAAAAGAACCTTTTGTTTGTTGAAAAATCCTTCAAGTTCAAAATGCAGAGGAGGTTCTTTGAACTAGATATTGAATTACATAGCTACCACCACCTGAATGCTAATAAAGGGCTTCTACCGTGTATATAGCCTAAAAGAATGTGAATCATATTTGTACTGTGAAATACATTGATCATTGAACTTTACATAGTATTATTACCTCTTAATGGCCTTTGATGTCAGTGTGCTCTGGTTGTTTATCTAAGAATTTAGAAATAAATGTGATGTGCTCTGAACAAAGTGTATATGTTCTTGAAAACCATAAAATCAAAGAGAAAATAGATGAAAGGATAAATAGTATATTTTATTTGCATGAATAACAAATATTGGAAATTAACTATGAATCTAGTGTACTTGAGACATTACACTTCATCTTTCTTGCATTGTGATGTAAAGCCTAAGATATAATGAACTCGTCATTGCAAACACCTGGAGTTGGCTCTTGATGAATTGGCAGTGGTAATGATGAGTGCAATAATGATTCTTGAGACTTAAAGTGAGGGTCTTGCCACTGGCTTCCTGTGTGCCCTGGGCTGGGGACTCCCTCTTTCTGTGTGAGGGGGCTCTTGGGGCTCTTGGGGTATGAGAAACCAGCATGAGGCCTAACGCTTTGGAATCAAACCTGTTTTTAGTCCTGTCACACCAATTAGCTTTGTGTCTGTGAGCATATTTTTTAACCACTTCAACCTTGGGTTTCTAATCTGTAAAATGGGGTAAAAAATACCTGCATTATAGGATTGCTATAAGATTGTATCAAATGCTTAGTACAGTGCCTGGCCCATAGTAAGTACTCAATAAATTGTTGCTGTTATTATTATTATTATTATTTGAATAAGCATTATAGAACTAGAATATGATTGTTTATTCCTGTCTTTGCAAAATTTTAATGTTTTGATATTTCATCGAATTTCCCTTGAAATAAAGTATGCCTAATGGTTTTGAGAAAAGGAATAAAAAATGATTTTTACTATTTTTCTTTGCTTCTGAAAGATACCTGAAACAACAATTTCTTTGTTCTTATGTTACTCCTTGACCTGTGGTGATTCCATATGCTATATTTACAATGTGGTTATCATTGCATGATATTTATTTATCTAGCAATGAAAGATAATGACTCTTTCACATCCAGAGTATTCCTATTCTCTAGAAAATAATCCACCAACTTGGTTCCACTTTTAAGATAATTAAGTCACTCTGTGTTTATAGGAGCTAAAGATAAAGCTATGTAAGACCTGTTTAGCTTAAACCACAAGTTATTAGCTCAGCTGCCTCTGAGAGAAATTGGATGTCTAATCATACTGGGTGAGGACAATGCCTCATAACTTAGCTTCTGAACTTTTTTGTATTTCATGTATTCTGTGTTGGCCTTCAAGAAGTTTAAAATAATGATATTCCGAATGTGGTTTGTTCATTTGTAACTCTAATGCTATGTCTGCTGAGTAACAGAACTGTCACTGCCATAATCCAGGTCCCCAGTTAACCTGGATGACCATAGTGGCCTTATAACTCACATCCCAACTCTTTCAGTGTTTGAACTTGGAGTCTTTGGTGTTCTAGTGTATCTATCTAGTAGTCTTCAGTGTTCAGCACCTTGCTGCCTCACTTAACTTCCCATGTGCACAATTCAAAGTTTGTTGAATTGTGCAAAGGTCTTCAGGGTCTTCCCATTGTCTCTGTATTCCACTACTTAACCTTTACATCATGGCCCTGTCCTGCTGTGCCGTCACCAGTGTTGTCTGCTGTAGTTCTCTTTCATACAATATAGGTGGTAGTTCCTGTCTTCCTCAGCCCTATCTAAGTACTAAAGATCTTCAGCCTACAGGTCAACCCTGATCTCTTAAGCTTGTCACTTAAGCTCTGGTGGGTAAGATCAGAAATTAGATTTCTTACCTGAAGCCTGAGTGCCTGAACTGAGCCTACCAAGCTGTAGCCTCCTTCTTGTTCTCCTCCATCATTGCAAACACCTAGTGTTACTTCTTGATTCATTGGTAGTGATACGATGAGTGCCATAATGATAAGAACATGAGACTTAGAGTGAGGGCTTTACTACTGACTTCTTGTCTGCACTGAGCTGGGTACTCTGTCTCTCTTTGGGAGAGCGCAGCTTTGTCTTGGCAGGATGACCCCAGTCTATAGGGGTGAGTTTCTTCTTTATTTTTCTTCTTAAGCTTTCAGCCTACTAAATTAGGTCATCCTCACTGAACCATAAGCCCCCTTCTCTGGGGCCCTGAATTCTACCTACTTAATTTTGGCTCTGAATAGAAATCTCCTGGTTTGGGCTCCCGAAATGATTAAGTGGAGATCTGCGATTAAGTGGAGATCTACGTAAACTCCATTCTTAGGTTCTAGCCAGCCTCGATCTCTTGAGTATCATCACATACATATTATATTTATTTACCATTGGGCTTCAAATTGTTCTGTCCATTCTCCTGCATGTAAATGCTAACCTGGAATGCACTTAAGTTTACCATACCCTAGATGTGGCATCTAGACCTGGCCTTGGCAAACTAAGGCCCTTGGGCCAAATCTGGCCCAATTTTTTTTTCCAAAAATAAACTTGTATTGCAACACAGCCATACCCACTCATTTATGCATTGTCTATGGCTACACAACAATGACAGAGTTGAGTAGTTACAACAGAAACCATACAGCCTGAAAAAACCTTAAATATTTATTATTGGATTCTTTACAGAAAATGTTAGCTGACCCCTGATCTAAAGCCAAGTAGTCCCCTAGCCTTGATATTGCTTATTCTTTGATAATTCCTCATTCCCATCCTGTCAACCAGTACAGACCCAGGAGACCAGTTCATTGAGACTATGAAGATAGGTTCCAACCCATTCAAACTACTTGCTTTTACTTGAATTTCCCTGTTTCTTTGTCATCTTCCTAAAATGGCCTTTCTCTGTGTTTTTCTTTTTAGTGAAAGAGATGTCATAGTCATGAAGTCTATTACAATAGCCATATGGTATTTTTTAAATGTAATTTCAGATTCTAATATGAAAGTCTTTCAGCGTTGCCAATAGTTTTCAACATGACCTTCCAATAGCTCTAAGATTAGGCTTTTCAATTCTTCAGTGTCTCTAACATCAGGTCTTCTGAACTCCAAGGCTTCCAACATCCCCAATTGCCAGATCTTCTAAATGTTACAGCATCCATATCTTCTAGTCTCTGGCCTGCAAAATCTCCAATGCCAATGTTTTCTAATCTTCTCAATATTGGGGTCATTAAAATTCTAAGTCTTATAATATCTCCAGCAATTAACCTTCAAATTTTAGGTCTTGTCTTTCAGAGTCCAGAGTTCAACTTCCAGTTTTACTATGTTCCCAGTCCTCTAATGTCTCCTATATACAAGTCTTCTAGAGTTCCTGTATTTCGTTTCGTCCAAGTCCAGCTCTTCCAATATCTCCTAGCACTTAACATCATTCAGTTCCTACAACTTTTAGTGTCTTCTGAATCCTGATTTCATAATGTCTTGTTATTACCAGTTCCTCCAATGCCCAAGTCTTTCAATATCTCCATGAACCTGGTCTTCCAACATTCAGGTGTTCCAACATCCCCAATGTCTGAATGACTAGATCTCTGAACATCTTGGTCTCTTAAAGTCTAGGTCTCCAATTGTCCAGGGCTGCCAACATCTTTGAAAGTTAACATCTTTCAAATTCTATGTCTTTTAACATGAGTATGTCATTATCCAGGTTTTCCAATGTCTCCCAATATCCAGGGCTTCTGATTTTCGGATTTCTAAATGTCTAGGTCTTTTATTGTCCATATCTTCTAATGTTTAAGGATTCCAAGGTCCAGGACTTGCAGTGTCTCTAGTGTTCAGGGCTTCCAGGATCCATGGCTTCCAATATCCACAAACTCCAACATTCAGGGCCTCCAAAGACTCCAGTGTCCAGAATAACCATTATCCTCAAAATCCAAGGCTTCCAATGTCTCCAACATCCTGTGCTTCCAATGTCTCCAATGTCCAGGGTTTCCAATGGCGCCAGTATCAAGATCTTCCAACAACTCCAGGTCTTCCAGCAACTCCAAGTCTTCCAACTAATTCCAAGTCTTCCAACAACATCAACGTCTTCCAGCTAATCCCAGTCTTCCAGACAATCTACGTCTTCCAGACAATCTACGTCTTCCAGACAATCCAGTCTTCCAGCAATTATAGGTCTTCCACAGAATCCATATCTTCCAGGAAAATCCACATCTTCCAATGGTTTCAAGGTCTTCCAGACAATCCACGTCTTCTACCAATTTCAAGGTCTTCCAGCTAATCCACGCCTTCCAGAAAAATCTAGGTCTTCCAGTCAATCCACGTCTTCCAGAAAGACATCCAGGTCTTCCACTCAGTCCACATCTTCCAGAAAAATCTGCGTCTTCCGCCAAAGCCAGATCTTCCATTCAACCCATATCTTCCGGAAAAATCCAGGTCTTCCAGCCAATCCATGTCTTCCACTAAATCCAGGTCTTCCAACAAAGCCATGTCTTCCAGAAAATTCATGTCTTCCACTGAATCCCAGTGTTCCACAAATATGTCTTCCTAAAGATCCACATCTTCCAGTAACCTCCAGGTCTTCCAGCAAATCTACGTCTTCCAGACAATCCAGGTCTTCTGGACAATTCGGGTCTTCCTGAAAATCCATGTCTTCCTGAAAATCCATGTCTTCCAGGAAATCCATGTCTTCCAATGACCCCCAGGTCTTCCAGACTATCTACATCTTCCACAGAATCCATGTCTTCCAGCAAATCCTTGTCTTCCATCAATTTCATGTCTTCCAGCCTACCCATGTCTTCCAACGAAGTCACGTCTTCCAGAAAAATCCACATCTTCCACCAAATCCAGGTCTTCTATCAATCCACATCTTCCAGAAAAATCCAGGTCTTCCAGCCAATCCATGTCTTCCACCAAATCCAGTCTTCTGGTCAATCCACGTCTTCCAGAAAATTCATGTCTTCCATTTAATCCTGGTCTTCCACAAATATATGTCTTCCTAGAGATCCATGCCTTCCAGTAATCTCCAGGTCTTCCAGCAAATCTACATCTTCCAGACAATCCAGGTCTTCCGGACAATTCGGGTCTTCCTGAAAATCCACGTCTTCCAGAAAAACCATGTCTTCCAGGAAATCCATGCCTTCCAATGATCTCCAGGTCTTCCAGAAAATCCATATCTTCCATCACATCCATGGCTTCCAGAAAATCCTTGTCTTCCAACAAAGCTGTGTCTTCCATCAAATTCATGTCTTCCAGACTACCCACGTCTTCCAACAAAACTACATCTTCCAGAAAATCTACGTCTTCCAACAAAGCCAGATCTTCCATCATTCTGCATCTTCCAGAAAAATCCAAGTCTTCCAGCCAATCCATGTCTTCCACCAAATCCAGTCTTCCGGTCAATCCACGTCTTCCAGACAAAATCTACGTCTTCCAAACAATCCAGGTCTTCCGGACAATTCGGGTCTTCCTGAAAATCCACGTCTTCCAGAAAAGCCATGTCTTCCAGGAAATACATGTCTTCCAATGACCCCCAGGTCTTCCAGACTGTCCACGTCTTCAAGAAAATCTATGTCTTCCATCAAATCCATGGCTTCCAGAAAATCCATGTCCTCCAGCAAATCCTTGTCTTCCAACAAAGCTCTGTCTTCCATCAAATTCATATCTTCCAGCCTACCCATGTCTTCCAGAAAATCCATTTCTTCCAACAAAGCCACGTCTTCCAAAAAAGCCATGTCTTCCAGAAAATCCATGTCTTCCAACCAAGCCACGTCTTCCAGAAATTCATGTCTTCCACTTATTCCTGGTCTTCCACAAATATATGTCTTCCTATAGATCCACATCTTCCAGTAACCTCCAGGTCTTCCAGCAAATCTGCATCTTCCAGACAATCCAGGTCTTCCGGACAATTCGGGTCTTCCTGAAAATCCACGTCTTCCAGAAAAGCCATGTCTTCCAATGATCTCCAGGTCTTCCAGAAAATCCATGACTTCCATCAAATCCATGGCTTCCAGAAAATCCATGTCTTCCAACAAAGCTGTGTCTTCCATCAAATTCATGTCTTCCAGCCTACCCATGTTTTCCAACAAAACTGTCTTCCAGAAAATCTACGTCTTCCAACCAAGCCACGTCTTCCAGGAAATCCACGCCTTCCAGAAAATCCACATCTTCCGACAACTACTCAGTCTTCCAACAACGGGCTCAATCTCCACGTCTTCCGTCTTCTAACATTCAGGTATTCTAACATGTTTCATTGTCCAAGTCTTCCAACCTTTCCCCAGGTCCTGCCTTTTTCAAAATTAGTCTTCCCAAGCCTGAGTCTTCCCATGTTCAGATCTTTTCACAGACAGGTCTTCCAACTCAAATACTCCTGCTTCTAGTAGAATTAGCTTCAGAAAATTTAATAGGGCATCCCTTCTTATAGACCAGATCTTACAGATCAACTGTACTACAGCCTAATAGTGTTTTTTTTTTGCTATTAGGAAATGTGTATTTATTCTTTAGAACTTTCAAAGATAGTTGTCATGAAATAGCTTCTATAGAATAAACACACATGGGATTGCTGTGATAAATTTTGCTACTTTACTAATGCTTATAATTTTTATATAGTCAATTATGTTTAGGTGCAAGTGAAATTCTTATTTTAATGAGAAAAATTCCTATGTAGAGACTTTATTATTTTAGATAAAGTTAACATGCAGTGTATTTATCCATTTTTATGACATCAATTTTTGTTTGGTTTTATGTGACTAATTAATGATGATAATAATAATAATGATAACAACAATAATAATAAACATAACATTTGCTACATCCGGGCACTGTTCTAAGGTCCTTACATACATCAACTCATCTAATCTTCACAAGAACCCATTGAGGTAGGTACTATCATCCCTGTTTTACAGATGAGGAAACTAGCACACAGAGGTGAAATAACTTGTTCAAAGGATACAACTAATGATAGAGTTGGGATTTGAACCCAACTAGCCTATTTCAGAATCTATGATCCTAACCACTATGCTATAATATCTGCTGTTAAAAGTCAAGCTAAGAATTACAGGATCCAAAGCTTGATTGCTCCCTTTTTATGTATAGACTATTATAAGATCTTGTATACAAGTGGCCTAACTTTATCTTGTCACTATCAGAACCTACTTTAGATTCACAGATCTCATTTCTCAACTAGCTACTATCAGTCCCTTGCTCTTGTATATGGAACTAGGCACAAGTATTTCCCATGCCATTTTCAGTTTAGGTAGAAATAATATAAGGGAGCACTGAGTTCAAGTACCCTTTGCTTTAGAATCATATTTATGGTTCCATGCTTTGAGTACTGGTGCTTGGAATTGAGCTATACCATCTAATTCCTTACCTCTGATCATACTCCAATTTGCACCTTATGGTCTAGACCACCTACCATTAGTTTGCTTTTGACCTCCAGGATCCACCTGCTTCAAATATCACTGACCTTGGATTTCTGACCACTGCGTTGTGTCTCACTAATGGTAACTACAACTCCTTAACGCTCAGCATGCTGACCTAGAGAACTAACTACCTGGTTCTCCAAGTCTCAGCTCCTATCAGGTGCTTCTAGCAACATTGCTACCTGTTCCTGTGGTTGGCATGGCAAGCATTAAAATGACATAATGAAATTTTGGTTAGGCAAGGAATCTCTGAAGATTTAGAATAATCTATATGGTAATACAAATTAATCGTCATTCTCCTCATCCTCTAAATACCTTAGAAATGTCTAATGATTTAGTTTATAAAGTGTTACTTCATTTATTCCATTCATTCAACAAATATTTATTGAGCGCCAGCTGTATGACAGGCATGTTTTAATGGAACTTAAAATCACCTAGGAAAAGCAGACAATGTTCAAATAACTGAAGTTATTTATCAGTGGTTGTAAGGCCATGAAGGAAAAAGAAGTATAGGATGCTGTGAGAGTCTGGAAAGTTAACAGAAGCATTCCTGAGGAAGTAACATTTATGGTGACTGAAGAATCTGTTTTCTCACTTGATTATCACAATAACCTTGTGACTTAGATAAGATGGATGTTTTTACATGAGTTTTACCTACTCAGAGGTTAAGCAGCAAGTGCTAAAGATGGCATGGGATCATGTATTTTGGCTTATTTTTCCCCCTACTATCCTATGCTTCCTTAAAATAGATAGTAAATACAGTTTTGGCAATATATATATATATATATATATATATATATATATATCAAGGGATATAAAAATGACGGTACTCTTAGTGTTTTCACTTCAATGAACCTACTCAAGGAAATTATCTAAAATGTGGATAATTCATGCACAAAGGTGTTTGTTCCTCACATAGTAATCTGGTATAGTGAAAACAGAAAAACCTAAGGTCTAACTTTAAGGGCATCATTAAGTAAATTTGCTATTTCCACATGATGGGATATTATTCCATTAAAATATTTATGGTCTGTCGTATTACATAATGTTAAGTGAAAAGTCAGCTTACAAGATTATATAAAGTGTGACTACAATTATTTAAAATATATAATCAGAGACAAATGACTAGAAATAAACACATTGAAGATTGTGAATTAATTATCTGTAGGTGGATAGAATAATGTGTGGTTTTTATTTATATGTTTATGTCCTTTATTTCTTCCAAAGTTCTTACAGTGTAAAATAATTTTATATTCAGGAACAATATTTAAGTGACTGTGCATAAAAATTCATTATTCATCTTTTTACTATATATGTAATCAAGTTTTACTGTTGCAAACACTTCAAAATATAAGTAAAGGCAAAGGGAAAAATTAAAATCTCGAATAAACTCAGTATTCAGAGATAATGCTGTAAAATTTTTGGTGTATGTTCTTCCATACTGTTTCACAGGTATGTTTGTTTTATTTTATAATACAAAATGGCATTATACTGCCATTTTGCCTAGTTTTTCCACTTAATAAATTGTAAATATCTTCCCATGTCAGTAACTGTGCACCTATATTATAATTTTAATATGTAATTTATTTACTTCATTAAGGTCTTTCCATTTTTTTGTATTATAAAAACTGCTGTGACGAGCACATACGTTGTGCAGAACACAAACTGCCTTGTCTTACGTGGTGGCCCTGTATACAATTGTGTGCACATTTATTCAGATATTACTTACAATTAATTCTTAAAAGGAGACTTGCTGATCTGAAAGATAGGTACATCATAAAGCTTACCACAGCAAAAAAATTATAAGCAATCCAGGTGTCCAATAATTGATGGTAAAATAAAAGTATATTGTAAATATTATGCAGCCATTTAAGTTTATACCACAAAAGAATATTTACTGAAATGGAAATATGTTCACAAGATCTCATTAGTGAAAGGAACAGGTCAGATAAGTATATATAGTACTCAAATTTTGTATAAAGGAAACTATATAAATGTCCTCAAAAAATAACCAGAAGAATATACACTAAAATGTTAGTAGTAAATGTCCCAAAAGAAAAATGGATAAATTATGGTATATTTACATGATGGAATATTATATTGCAGTGAAATGAACACATTATGGCTACATATAATAATATGGATAGATTTTACTTCAATAATGTTAAATTGAGATATCAAGTCTCAGAAGACAACATGTAATAGGATATCCTTTTTGTATTATTCAAAACCAAGTAAAACAAAACACTATATTATTTAAGTACACACACAGGTTAGACAATTAAGTTTGCGAACTTTTCCCGTGCGCTTACACAGTGGAAAGTTTGCAAACTTAATTGTCCAATCTCGTGTACATATGTATGTACACACACACACACACACACACACGGGATTAAAATGTTTTATTAGAAAGCAAAGGAATATCAATTAAAAATTCAGCATAATGATCACTGGGGTCGAGGAAAGGAGGTTGGAATAGAAGAGAATCATGGAAGTATTGGGCTGTTAGAAAAGTCATGACATATTTTTTCTATGTTTTTTGTTGCAAAAATGCATCTTGACTTTTCCAACAACCCAATAGATTGAAGTTACTGTCAGTATTCTCAGGTATATGGGTACCCAGGTTTGATGGGTGAGTTGTGGTGGGCGTTCATTATGTAATTAAAAGCATATTATTGATTATTTAATAATTGTATGATTATTATGGAAATTAAAAGAACAAATTAATGGATAAAGATAAAAGAGGGCCATGAGTGGATCAATGAGATGATATGCATGATCTATGACAGCATGCATGGATTATTCATAATCCAATTCTGTGCACTTGAATTCCATGAAATTTTCTTAAGCAATTATCTCTGGGTGGTGGGAATACATGTACTTTTTATTCTCTTGTGGCTCTTTAGTCTCTAGATTTTCTATAGGGAAAATATAATATAGTAATTGGAAAACAAGCCCAAAGTTACATAGAGTAAGATCTCAACTATGTAAAAAATGCATAACGGACTGAAAAGAAAAGTGTTGACATGTTAATAATAAGCACCTCTGTGTAGTGAGATTTCATATAGCTTTTTTTATGTTTCCTTATAATTTTTTAATCCAAATGTTATAGGATGAGGTTATGTTTTTAGTTTGTTATAAAAGTAACACATGTTTATTATAAAAATTAAAAAGACAGTAGTATATAAAGGAACAAATGAAAATACCCCTCTCCTAGTCCCATTTCCCAGACAGCCATGATGATTTGTCTGCTTTGTGTCTTCCATATACTTTTTCTGTTTCTGTGCATGTGTTCTTGTGTGTTTTACAAAATGAAATTGTCCTATACATACAGCAGGTCCTCTGATAATATTTTGTTCAATTTCATTTCGTTAAAGTTGATGAGGAAAAAAAAATGATTCCAGGCCTGGGCCACTGTCTGTGTGGTTTGCAGGTTCTCCCCATGTCTGCGTGGGTGTTCTTGGGGACTCTGGTGTCCTCCCACGTCCCAAAGCTGTGCATGTGAGTGAAATGGTATATCTACATTGTCCCCATCTGAGTGAGTGTGGGAGTGTGTGATGCGCCCTGCGATGGGAGGGCGTCCTGTCCAGGGTCGGTTCCCTCCTTACACCCTGAGCTGCCAAGAGAAGCTCCAGTCACCCGTGACCCTGAACTGGAATAAGCAGGTTGGAAAATCATTCTCTTACTTGTTTTTATTCATTTTTCTTAAATATATGTATAGCTCACATTTATTTCAATGTTTGATATTAGAAGTGTTTGGGTGTGTTTTAGAAGTTTGGTGATGATTTTGTGACCAGAAATATGCTGTAGGAATTTAACTCTTGTTTCTATCAGTTAGCCTGTGTAAATATTGGTTTTGTTATATATATTGAGTCCCTTAAAGTCACAGTTTCCAAGAATCAATCTACCAAGTTAAGTACGAACCTACAGTATTCTACAATTGTCTATCCCATCCCCTCACCCCTTCCCACTCAATAGAAAGTCATTGTAACTGCTAGAATTCCATAGTAGGGTGTATTGTCTAATTTATTCAACTCATTGCTCATGATAGATCTTTAGGTTAACACTTTTTTTTACTATTACAGAGAATGCTATAAAAAGCATTCTTTTAAATATCTTAGAAGTATAACTGCTAGATCAAAGGTTTTGAGCTAAATTGCCCTCCTGGCATATTGGACACTATCATTCTTTTGAATTTTGTCAGCATTTTGGATGAAAAATTCCTTTATTTTCCCCTA